AAAAAAACAAATTATTCTAGGAGTCCTTTCAATTGAGAATACACAGGTATACTTTGTTTTCTTGTACTTCATTTCAAAGTGTTTCTCAGAAAAATTGTTTTTTATATATTCAAGATCTCTTAACTCATATTAGTTTTTAAATTTACTTTCTTGTAGTAATCTAGAACCAAACTTCAAAAATTTCTGAGGTAAGCCTTTATGTGTTAGTTAAAATTTCAAGAGACAATATAAAAAAAACACTCTCTTGGAAATATATCCAAGTCTATCAATTCATTAGGTGACCTGCAAAGATTCATTATTAGAGCAAAAAGAGGAAAGAAAAAATGCCTAATATTCCAAGAAGCAGAAGGTAAATCCATAATACAGACTTCAGTTGATGAAACTATGATAAAGCACACGCGGATTACTGTGATAGATTAATACAGCACTCTGTTTACCTCACAAGCTTTGTCCTGAAATAGCTTACGATGATGTTCTTCTTCCTTAAGCTTTTCCTCTAAAAGTTTAATCTTGTCCTGCAAAAGAATAAAAAGCTAGGATTATTATATAAAAACCAGACCCAAATAGTCTTTGTTCCTTCTCCAAATAAAGTCCTAGTGGGTTTTGATTTTTTAGAGTTTAGCAAGTTAAAACAGAATATAAGAAAAAGGAATTGTAAGAGATGCCAAGGTTTTACTTGGCTTTCTTCCTATGCTTCTTTACTTGATATTACATATGAGAACAAAAGGAGGACAAAGAAGGTAATACATTTATAGGCCTTATTAAGTTCCAGGTGAAAGTCAGATACTGAAAGTTTTGGCAATTTTAAAGAAGAGACATTAGAAGTATGAGATAGGGTTCCTGCTATTTAAGAGTTTACACTGACAATGGATGAGTGGAAACCCTAGGTCTCTGCAAACTTTTATTAAAATTCATTTAAAAAAATTTTTTTTTCAAAAAAAAGGAAAAAAAAGAGTTTACACTGTACTTGGGGAAACAAGAATGACATATATGTAGCCTAAAAGAAACAAAAGTGCTGATGCTGGCTCAGAATAGGGCAGTTGTTCAAAGTGAGCACTTTCTAAGTGTTGCAGAACGTGCAGAAGGCTTCATAGAGGAAACACTACTTGAAGGGTTTGGTGAAATAGAAAGATTTTGGGTAGGAAAAAAAAACAACAGATGGAGGAGATCTAGGATAGACTTAACTTATCAAGTGGTGAAGGACAATCTTTACAACATTCTTTTAAGCAAATTATCTGATAAATGTTAATGTTATGCCATCTTGATGTTGTTAGATGCCATCAAGTTGAGTCCAACTCATAGTAACCCTACATGCAAAAGAATGAAACAGTGCTCAACACTGTGTCATCCTAAGAATCACTGCAGTGCTTAGGTCCACTGTTGCAGTCACTGTCAGTCTGTATCACTGAAGGTCTTTCTCTCTTTTGCTTACCTACCTTCCACTTTTCCAAGCATGGTGTCCTTCCAGCAAAGTCTCACCATCCTTACTTCTAAGAAGTATTCTATTTTTCTTTTTCCAAAACATATTAGAAGAGGTAAAAATTACATTATCTCATTCAAAGGCACTTTGGACACTTTGGAGAGGTCCCTGACAACAGACTTCGCCAATGAAATTCGTCTTCTGATTTCCTAACTGATGGTGCCAAAAGTGTTGACTGGGGAGCCAAGCAAGCTGTAATTGTTAACCTCAATCTCTTCTCCAACCATTATGGTGCTGCCAGTTGGCACAGTGGTGAGAATCTTTGTCTTGATGTTAAGCTTTAATCCATATTCAAAACTATAGTCTGATTTCTGCAGCAAACATTTCAGGTCCTCCTCAGTTTTGGTAAGCAGGTTGTATCATCTGCATAACACAGGTTGTGGATGAGTATTCCTCCAAACCTGATGCCACATTCCTGATCTGTTCTGCATATAGATAGAAAAGGTATGGACACAGGACACATCCTCCATACAACGTTTTCCTAATTTTGAATCATGCAGTGTTCCCTTGCTCTTCTCTGATGACTGTCTCCTGATCCGAACATAGGTTTCGCATTAGCACAACCAAGTGTTCTAGGATTATCATTCTTCTCAAGGTTAGCCACAATGTTGTGATTTATGGAGTTAAATGTCTTTGCATAGTCAATGAAGTATAGAAAGACAATGCTCTGGTACGGTCTGCTTTCAACCGTGATCCATCCGACATTGGTGATAATGTCTCTCATGCCATAGCCTCCTTTAAATCCAGCTTGTATTTCTAGTAGTTCTTGGTTAATGATGGTTCAGTTGCTTTTTTATAATCTTTTGCAAGGTTTTGCTTGTGTACAATATCAGCGATATTGTTTGATAATTTCCACACACTATCAAATCACCATTTTTGGGGATAGGAATAAACATGGATCTCTTCCAGTCAATTGGCCAGTTTGTTGTTCTAGACTTCTTGGTACAACCTAGTGAGCATGTCCAGGTAGCATCTGTTTGTTTAAATATGCCAATTGGCATGCTGTCAATTCTTGGGGCCTTGCTTTTTGCCAACTCTTTCAGAGCAGCTTGAACTTCCTCCTTCATCACTATCACCTCTTGATCATATGTTGTTTCATGAAATTCTTCTGTGCCAGCCAATTCTTTTTGGTACAGTGACTCTGTGTACTCCTCCCATCTTCTTTAAATGATTTATGGATCACTCAATATTCTGCAACAGCATCCTTAAGTATGGAAACTCAAGGCTTGAATGTATTCTACATTTCCTTCCACTTAAGATATGTTGAGTGAGTTTGGCCCTTTTGATTTTCTGACTCCAGCTTTTTGTATTATAATACTTTGCTTTGTCTTTCCAAGCTGCTGTTTGGACTCTTCTATTCAGCTCCTTAACTTCTTGATTTCTTCCCTTTACTTAGGCCATGGTCTTCACAATTACTTGCTATGCATTAGAGAGCTGGACAATGACTAAGGATGACAGAAAGGCATCATGTGATGCCTTTGAGTTGTGGTGCTGGAGAAGAGTATTGAATACTCCTCAATGAGCTCTTAGTACTGAGCCACCATGGACTGTCAGGAGAACAAATAGGTCTTTCTTGGAGAGGGCAAAACCAACTTTTTCTTTGGAGACAGAGATTTTGAAGGTCTGTCTCACATACTTTGGGCATGTGATAAGGAGGTATCAGTCCTTGAAGAAGGACATCATGCTTAGAAGGGTGGAGGGATAGCACAGGAGACAAAGACCCCAGATGAGATGGATTCACACAGTAACTGGGGCAGTGGGATTAGGCATGTCAGAGTCAGTGAGACTGGCTCAGGATAGGGTAGGGTTCAGACCTCCTGTATACAGGGTCACTAGAGATGCTGGCGACTCAAAGGCACGCAACAACATTCAAAGGGCACATTCACGTGTGCTGTGACAGGCCACATTAGCTTTACATACTGATACATACGAATTCACATCTGAATTACTGTAAATGAAACTTTATAAAAATTTCCTGTACATTCACATAGAGTAATACCAAAGATTTGTTCCTGGCAACATCACTTCAAAGAAACAAATGGTGGCTTACCTCAGCAGTTTTCTGAGTTGCTGTAAGTCTAAAACATTCTTTTTCTAAGACATCAAGCTTTTCAAGTTTTGCATGTAGCTTCATATGATCTTGTTCTTTTTCCTTTTGAAGTTGGGCCTAGGAAGGATAAAAACAAAACTTGAATTTGGCAGGGATGCCAATGGCTCAAAAATAATAGAATTTCTCAGAATCGACTAGAAATCATCAAAAGAAACATGTATATACAAGGGCATATTTAGGTATTTACAAGCAAAACCCCAAAACCTTCAAAAAATCAAATACTTTTAAGGACCAACTATAATGTGTTTTTAAAATAAGGTGTGCTAAGTAATCATTGTTGTTATGTGCCGTCGAGTCACTTGTGACTCATAGCGACCCTGTGTACAATAGCCCTAAACTCTGCTCTGTTCTGTGCCAATCGCCCTGTGTCCAACACACCCATCCTGATTACCCCAGTCACTGAATCAATCCACCTCATAGATGGCCTTCCCCTCCTACGCCATCCCTCCACCTTCCCAAGCATGATGTCCCTCTCCAAGGACCTGTCCCTCCTTACAACATGGCCAAAGTATGCCAGACGAAGGCACAGAATCCTTGCCTCCAAGGAGCAGCCTGGTTTAACCCTCCCCAGGGTGAATCTGTTTGTTTTCTTGGCAGTCCATGGTACATTCCATACTCTTCTCCAGCATCACAGATCAAAGGCATCAATTCTCCTCCTATCCTCCCAGTCATTGCACAACTCTCTGATGCATAACAAGTGATTGCAAAGACCATAGCCTGTATCAGATGCACCTTTGTCTCCAGAGTGACACCATTGCTCTTCAGTACCCTGGAGAGGTCCCTAACAGCAGACTTTCCCATCGCAATATGTTTTTAGATTTCCTGGCTACTGGTGGCAAGAGTGTTCCGACTAAAGTTGTGAACAATCTCAATCTCTTCACCATCTATCCTGATGCTGCCAATTGGTCCAGTGGTGAGAATCTTTGTCTTCTTAACATTGAGCCTCAATCCATACTGAAGGGTGCAGTCCTTGACCCTCTGCAGCAAGCTTTTCAGGTCCTCTTCAGTTGAAGCAAGCAGGGTTGTATCATCAGTATAATGCAGATTGTTAATAGAACTTTCACCAATCCGGATGCCACACTTCTCATACAGCCCAGCCTCTCGGATAATCTGTTCTGCATACAGGTTGAAAAGGTATGGAAATAGGACACATCCCTGGCATACACCTTTCCCAATTTTGAACCATGCAGTGTTTCCCTTCTCAGTTCTGATGACTGCCTCTTGGTCCAAGAATAGGTTTTGCATTAGAATGTTCAAGTGTTCTGGAATTCCCATTTTTCTCAGAGTCAGCCACAGTTTATTATGATCCACACAGTCAAACGCCTTTGCATAGTCAATGAAACACAGATAGACATTCCTCTAGTGTTCCTTGCTTTCAGCTAATATCCATCTATCATTAGCTACAATATCCCTATTACCCTGACACCTTCTAAACCCAGCCTGGACTTCTGGCAGTTCTCTACTGATGTGCTGTTCTAGTCGTTTTTGGATAATCTTCAGTAGAATCTTGCTTGCATGTGAAATCAATGAGATTGTTCTATAGTTTCCACACTCTGTTGGGTCACCCTTCTTTGGAATGGGAACAAATACAGATCTCTTCCAGTCAGTTGGCCAAGTGTTGCTCTCCAGATTTCTTGGCACAACTTGGTGAGGACATCTAGGGCAGCATCTGTTAGCTGAAACACGTCAGTTGTTATACCATCTATTCCTGGGGCCTTATTTTATGCTATTTCCTTTAAAACGGCTTGAACTTCTTCCTTCATCATAGGCTCTTACTCATATGTTATTTCATTAAATTCTTCTTGTCTGTTAACAACAACAAGTAATCATCAACAGAACTAACCCCTATGTTTCTTTACAGAACACTTTTTTCCAAGGACAAATATCATCAGCAAAACCAGCACTAACTACAGTAAACAGCTATTCACAAGTTAACCAAAACTATGTGTAGAAAGTCAGCTCCGAGAAGAAGAAAACATAAAATGAAGATGTTAAAAAAAGAATGTGACATGTAGAAACTGCATGAAGGCAGGATTCTTCCTTGTTATGCAATGTATTGAGGATTTTAGGGCAGTTGTTAACGAGCCCAGGTAGGGTACAGCCTATTTCATTCAACTACTAACTGAAGTCTTAGCAGTTTAAATGGGCCAGCTGAGAAAGATGGGCAGTCTCCTTCCTATACATTTACAACCTCCGAAACCAATGGAGAGCTGCTATGAGTTCGAACTGATTCAACACAGTAGGTTTGGGTTTTTTGTTTATAGCTTTTTAATTTTTTTATTATATTAGTTTATTTACAAAATTCTAATACATTGTAAAATATATTGTTTTTCAGACCAGATTCATCCAATTTCCCTCACCCTCCCACCCATCAAATTGTACAACCCCAGGATTAATCTGCCTCTGCCCTCCACACATCCCCCCTCTGCTTCCACCCTCTCCCCTTTGGATCTTCACACTCATTCTATAATAATGGTTTTATACAATATTTGTCCTTGTCGGACTCAGTGAGTTCACTCAGCATAATGCTCTCCAGTCCCTCCCAAGTTAGGTAATAATTTACAAAACATTGTTCCTGTATGCTGTGTTGTATTCCATTGTATGTATGTACCATACTTTCTCAATCCATTCGATTGTGGTTGGACATCTGGGCTGTTTCCTTGTACTTATGATGGTGAATAACACTGCTATGAACATTGGTGTACAAGTCTCTGCGCCTCATTTCTCCTTTTCTCAGGGTATATTCCAAGCAGTGGAATAGGTGGGTCATGTGGAATTTCTATATTCAGCATTTTGAGGAAGCATCGAACTTCCTTTCAGAATGGTTGTACCATTTTACAATCCCACCAACAATGTATGAGTTCCTACCTTGCCACATCCTCTCCAACATTTATGACTTCCTGTCCTGTTAAACTTTGCCACTGTTACTGGAGTGAGATGGTATCTCATTGTGGTTTTTATTTGCATCTCTCTTATTGCTAGTGATTTTGAGCATTTCTTCATGTGTCTGTTGGCCATTCGATTATCTTCTTTGAAAATTTTTTCCATGTCTTTTACCCATTTTGTAATTGGGTTATCAGTCTTTTTCTTGTGGAGGCCCAGGAATATTCTGTAAACTTTCATTATGAGACTCTTTTCTGAGTGGTATTATCAAATGTTTGTTCCTAGTTGGAAGGTCCCATTCAACAATTTTATTTTCTTCAGACTGTGCATTTCTGGCTGTATTTGGCAGTCTCTTTATACCCTAAAATAGGCCTTCTCAGCTTGATCCCAGTTTGTCTCTTATGAACTTTATGGTTTGGGGCTTGACTCCCAGGTCTCTGATCCACCTTGAGTTGATTTTTGTGTATTGTGTGAGATGTGTATCCTGTTTCAGCCTTCTGCAGTCAGCACAGTCCAGTTTTGCCATTACCATGTGTTGAAGAGGTTGTCATTTTTCCATTTGATAGCTTTGATTTCCTTGTCGAATATCAGTTGACCATAGATAGCTGGGTCTGGGTTCTCAATTCTGTTCCTTTGGTCTATGTGCTTGTCATTGCACCAGTACTATGCTGTATTGGTTACTATCACTGTAAGAAGGTGTTGAGGTCAGGGAGTGCTATGCCTCCACCTCATTTTTGTTTCTCAGAAGTGTTTTGCTTATTTGAGGTCTCTTGCCTCTCCAAATAAGTTTGACAATTTCCCTTTTAATCTCCTTGAAAAATTGTTTATAGCTTTTAAGAGATAATGACTGATCCTGTTCCTATCAGTCCTTCATCCAACTGAGGAAGCTCCTTTAATTAAAGTTACGTTTTTGAGTAGGTAACTAGATGTACAGTACAAAAATAAAGTAAGGAAAAATACACTACAACATGGAAGTGTTGCTTTTTCTCTCCATACCCACAAAAACCCTAGTTGTCCTCCACAGAAAGAACCAGTTACAAGTATCTTCTGTATTGCCTCAGAGATGCTGTTGTTATGGCAATCTAATCGAAACTGATTTATAGCTGACTCTCCACTTGGTTTTCGGAGCCTATCAGTCACATGGGAAGAAACTGCCCATCTTTTTACTGCATAGCAGCAGGAGGATTTGTACCACTGGCTTTGAGTTGGCTTTGCAACTCCTTACTCACTAGGCCACCAGAGTCTACATTTATCTTTTTCAATTCATGTACAAATGGGAGCATATCTTACATGTTGTTTGCATTGTGTTTTCTCTTACTTAACAACATATAGTGGAGATCAGTAGAGCAGCTTGATCCTTTCTATTTTGACAGATGCAAAATTGCACATGTATAAACCATAAAATCAAAATGTACATCTAAAAATCAACTAAAAAACTCTCACATTAAGAGTGTGTGTGTGTGTTGTATGCTGTCAAGTCACCTGCGACTCATAGCAACCCTATGTACAACAACTCTGAACCCTGCCCTATTCTAAGGCAATTTCATCATCTCTGACAACCCCAACCCTATTTCTCCAATCACTGAGTCAATCCATGTCTTCCTTGGTCTTCCTCTCTTGCATTGTCCTCCCCTTTCAAGCATGATCTTCTTCTCCAAGGATTGGTCCCATTTGGTCATATGTCCAAAGTACGTGAGATAGAACTTCAATATCCATGTCTCTAGGAGGCAGCATGGTTTCACCTTCTCCAGGACAGACCTGTTTGTTCTTCTGGCAATCCACAGTATGTTCAACACTCTTCTCCAGAACTACAACTCAGAGGCATCGATTCTTCTATTGTCCTTCCTCAGTGTCCAACCCTCTAATACATAGCAAGCAATTATGAAGATTATGGCCTGTATTAGGCACACCTGAATCTCCAGACTGACATTGTTTCTCTTTAATAATCTAGAGAAGTTGCTGACAGCAGACTCTCCCAATGTGATTTGTCTTTTGATTTCCTGACTGATATTGCCAAGAATGTTGATTATGGAACGAAGCAAGCTGAAAATGTTAACAATCTCAATCTTTTGTCCATCTATCATGAAGATGCCAAATGGCCCAATCATAATAATCTTCAACTGAGCTTCAATCCATATTGAAGACTATAGTCTTTGACTTTCTGCAGCAAACAC